TCACAGCGAGCGACGCTGCTCAGACCGTCCTCGCCTCCATTGTTGCAGAAGCCGCGGCCAGAAACATCTTCCCCGCCCGGGAGCAGAGCGGAGCGGCGAACCGCGGCCAGAAGCGCCCTCCCCTCCCCGCCGGGAGTAGTGAGGAACAGCGAGCCGCCATTGCTGTGGAGCCACGACCGGAAACACCCTCCCCGTCCTGGGGAGTAGGGTGAGTTGCTGCCGCTTGCCACAGTTGGAGCCGCGGCCTGAAACACTCTCCCCGTTACGGTTGGAGCCGCGGCCTGAAACTCGCTCCTCGCCCGGGAGTAGGGCAGAGCAGCAAACGGCCACCACTTGCCCGCCGGCTTCCATCACCGCCAGAGCGGCCGCTGTCGGGGTGGTTGCGGCCGCCATTGCCGCCTCGTTGCGGGGTCCGGCGAGAGCCTCCCCCCCCTTTGGACTGGTAGAGTGGTGAGTAGTGAGCCCTCCGTACCATCACGGCGGCCGCCTCGCGATCGCCGCCTACTGCAGGGGCCGACATCACCACCATCGCTACCGGGGCAAGACATCGCTGCTACAGCAGCCGCCAGAGTGTAAGTCGAGGCCTGCGGGCCGCCATTTGAGTAGCTCCCAATAAGACCATCGGGGAAGGGCCTGACTGCAACTGGGTGCGGCCTGTGGAAAAGACCATCAATTGTGGCCTAGTAGTTACTAGGGCTCTCGACTGGCCAACCCCGCCACCTGTTGGCCTCTTCCGGCAAGTGTGCTGACCAACCTGGTTAACTATCTATTTGTGCTGACTGATTTTGTGCCGCCCGACTGGGCAACGCAAGCCGTGTGTAGACCTCTATTTGTGCTGACCGATATTGTGCCGCCCGATCGTGCAACTCAAGCTGTGTGTAGACCAATTTGTGCTGACCAACCGCCGTGTTGACCATCTCCGGAAAGACTGAGAGATCCATTCACTGTTCTACATCAGCCGTCCATCGACTACATCTTTGAACCACAACAACCTCACCAACTGATATTGTTCACCAATTTCCCTAATGTTGTGTTTACATATTGTCTAGTGTAGCACTTTATTGTTCCTTGCCTTATCTGCTGCTAATTGGTACAAACAACTTAGTATTGCACTTTACGGCGCCTCGCCTCTTCTGCTGCTAAATCCGAACTAGCACTTAATTTCCCTATCCCTCCATGCCGCACTTTAGATAGCACTTAGAGCTAGACTTGGGTACCTTGTTGCATTTTAAGACCTTTGCACTTTACGAGTTGTTTTTGTTGCATTTTAAGACCTTTTGCACTTTATGAACTGTGTCAGTGGCACGCAGCTGTGACGCCTATTGTGTTTGCACTTTAAGACTCTTGCACTTTACGAACTGCCCCAACTGCTCGCAGTTGTGACGCATACTGCACTTTGCTACTGTCAGTTTTATTGAAGTGTACCATCATTACCCATGCGGTACCCCATCCCCCTATTTGTATTGTCCTTGGTATGGTGACTTGTGGAAGGGGCAAGGGACGAAACGGGCTGGAGGTCGTGAGTAACAATAAGGTGGGGAGGGGGGAGAAAGGGAATGGAGGAAGTTGGCAAGAAAAAACTCCAACAAACCAAACAACCATTAATGGAACAGAAATTTAGACCATGGATTTGGACTGCGGCATGGAGGAGGGGAGGTGTTCCACTAGCCGAGGGGCCCCCATAGAAGTCGTGGTGGGGAAGGGGAGATGCGGGAAAAGGAGACCACAAATTCGGCCCAATTCGGATCGCATATCTACATTAGTAATCCCAAACCGGTCTCCTATGGTAAATTGGTGTAACCAGGTTGGCGGTCCCTCCGGATTGAAGGTGGTGC